CCTCCTCTTTTTGCTGAGGAAGACTGGCCCTGGGCTAACATCTGTGCCCATCTTCCTCCACTTTATATGGGACGCCGCCACAGCGTGGCTTGACAAGCAGTGTGTCGGTGTGTGCCGGGGATCCGAACCCCGGGCCGCCGCAGCAGAGTGCGCGCACTTAACCGCTATGCCACTGGGCTGGCCCCTCATTCATATTTGTGCATTCTACAGAACTTTAGGGAAAGTTCCTGAAGGTATTGCATTTACAGCAACTCAGATTAAATGGCTTTGCTTTTTCCTCTGACTTCCTCTAGCTAACACTTCTTGTCACTTTTTAAAAATATTCTTTCTTTCCACAAGCGTATTATGGAAGCATGTAAGCACTCTGGATGGGAAATGACTCTTTAAATACAAGGTCTTATAAAATAATTTCTGTTTTTTTATTTAGTGAGTAGGTCACTATCCTCTCTTTCCTTTGAGAGAATTTTTATGAAGGCATATTCTTCCATACTCTCTGAATGAATCCCCTTTCCCTACTCTAACATTAAAAATTAATGTTAGTAAGCCATCACCTAAATATGAGAGTTTTTCTCTGGTTTGGGATCAAACAGCCAGAGTGGTTTCCTGACATTCCCATAAATGTTGATCCTCTGTCATGATCTTTGTCTGATTGTGGTTTCAGGTTCTCCACAGACGAAGGTCAGTGCTGGCAAACCTACACGTTCACCAGGGAGCCCATCTACTTTACCGGCCTCGCCTCAGAACCTGGCGCTAGGTCCATGAATATCAGCATTTGGGGTTTCACAGAATCTTTCCTAACTCGCCAGTGGGTCTCCTACACCATCGATTTTAAAGATGTCCTTGAAAGGAACTGTGAGTGTCTCCTTTGACCTTTTCTACCAGAAACTTGTAAGCCCATTTTCCTAAATAACTAATTCAGTTTAATTTCTTTTAGCTGATAAGAAAATGCATATAAAGGAGGGTTGAAGGATGTTCCCTGTGGGTAATCAGGCAATGGGATGGTATTGGAAAAGCAGCTTCCCTCTTTGGACTTGCACTGTCCAAGAGAAATAAAATGAGGACCACTTAAGTCATTTAAATTATTCTATCAGCTACATTTTAAAAGTAAAAGAGGTGAAATTAATTTTAATAATATAATTATCTCCATATATCCAAAAATTATCATTTCAACATGTAAGCAATATTAAAAATTATTGATGAAATATTTTACATTCTTTTTGTTCTAAGTCTTCAAAATCCTGGTGTATATTTTACACCTACCCTGCCAGTAAATCTCAGTTCAGACCAGCCACAGGTGGTAAAGGCTATCGTATAGGACAATATAGCTTTGCACTCTTAGGGCTGTGTAATGTGCTATGTACCTTTTCTGATTGTGAGGATAAGGCATGCTTGTGTTTGTCTAAAATTATTTCGTAACATTTCATGGTTTTGCACCCCTGATTACAGCAGAACTGTAAAGAGGAAAGTGTGTTGCAAAGAGCATCTAATCGATTGTGTCACTTATCAAAATGTTGAAGTGAGGAAGTTTTCATGCAAGGAGTTTTGACTTGAATGTCTGTCACAGGTGAGGCTCTAGAATGGCTGCTGGGCAGGCGTGAAGCCCACACTGACCATTTCAGAGTTCTGTGACTTCGAATTAGAAGGCATGTTAAAGGCCCAGAAAATGGCTTCAGAAAAGGAATTAAAGTGTTCGTTGCAAGGTGTTCCTAAGGAGTCACAAGCAAACCCAGGCCCCAGTACCAAAGATGTTGACATTTGTACTGAGGATAAAAGAAAAAACTGGAGAAAAAATGACCGTGTGACCTGTAGTTACTTGTTGGCATGATATGACAAAAGGCCTAAGGTTTTAAGACGGTTTGGTTGAATTTTGATCCTGACTATTATTATACTGTGTTATGGATCCATTTCCTCAGAATGTTAATTCAGTGACTCCTGGAGAAAGTAAAAGCACTCCATTTGGACCTTACGTTTTTACAGGATGTTTCAATATGATTTAATACCGGAGAGTCATTCTTATCTAAATTCATTAAATAGGCTGTAAAGGAGCTGGCTTATGAGTTTTCCCCTCAGCAGTCAGCTCTACAATTATTCCTAAAGGTAGACGTCGTTAAAAGATTTGTTAAGCACCTGCTGTTTAACAGGCTCTGTGCTGGTCCCCATATCCCAAAGGATAGAACCCTAATCCACAGTCTTTAGGCCGTAGCCTTTGAGCCATTTTTCCAGGAGTGGGTGACAGAATATACTAAGCTAGGTTGTCTGTAGTCAGCAGTCTTCATTTGAGAGCCAGTTGGCTCGAATGAAAAGTCTAGAAAGAGAATGTTTTCCCTTCTGTTGGAAGCAAAATAACTTAGAGTAAAATTGAACCCCTGCTTTTGGCTAGTTGGTATCTGTCCTAAAGGAAAACATCTGGTTGCTTACCTCAGACAGCTGCTGCTGAAGGCACAGGTGTACAAGACACACAGACAGCAGCCTCTCGGTTTGAAAGGACCCCTAGAAGTCCTCTATCCAACTTCCCACTTTGAAACAAATAAGGCTTTTCCTAGTACTCAGACGGGTGATGAGATGCAAAGAATCCTCATTTGGCATGAGGAAATGCCAATTGATAGTAGGCTCCAACTAATGTAGCTTTTGTTTGTAATTCCAAAATGAAGCAAAAGGTTGAGTCAGACATCCCCACTTTCCCTCTCCTTGTTCCTCCTATAGCCTGGCAGCTGCCTCATGTGTGTGGTTCTGTGCCCTGCAGTTTGCTGAACAGCCTGTCTTTCCTTTAGGTGAAGAAAAGGACTATACCATATGGCTAGCTCACTCCACAGACCCTGGAGACTATGGAGATGGCTGCATTTTAGGCTATAAAGAACAGTACCTACGGCTCCGCAAGTCATCCATCTGTCAGAATGGTCGAGACTATGTTGTGACCAAGCAGCCGTCCGTCTGTGCCTGCTCCCTGGAGGACTTCCTCTGGTATCAGCATCTCTCAGATCCCTGTCAGCCCCTTGCCCTGCTGGAGGAGGTTTTGTTGAGGAGGTGGCACTTGAGCTGAGCCCTGACGAGCAGTAGGATTTGACTGTACATATCTGGGAAGAAGCAGTCATTAAAGCCAGTGGACTGGTGTGAACATAGATACCCAACAGCATGATCGGGAAGGGTGTGCTGGAAGATAGGCCAAGAGGGGAAGTCACAGTAGTCACGATAAAGAAGTGCATAGGGTCCCGATGGAGGAGCTCAGGCTAAATTTTCAACTTAGATGATGGGAAGGAAAGTAGTGTCATAGGCAAACATAAGGAAATGCTAGGAGAGGCTGGCACGAAGGAGAAATGATGTGTTTTGAATGTTTTGTTTATTTGAGGTTCTGTCAGCAAACTTAGGTGGTGATATTTGGCAGGTACTTGGAAATGTAGGATTAAAGCTCAAGAGAGGTAAAGCCTGCAAGTTTAAGTTGCAAGCACAAATAGTTAAGCTCACAAAGAGAGAGCAGGTACAAAGTAAGAATGAATTCTAGAACCTTGGAAAACATCTGCATTTATGGGTTAGGAAGAGACAAGAGTAAGCAGTGATCAGAGAAACAGATGAGTGCAGCCTTGCAGGGCCGAGGTAGGTAGGAGCACAGTGGTGTGTCAAGGGTCAAGGTGAATGAGACCAGAGAGGGCTCCCCTGGGTTGGGTGACCAGTGAGCCCTGGGGGGCCTCAGACATTCACTGTCAAGGTTGCATAGGGAGGTGAAGCCAAAATGCATAGAATAAAAAGTAAATGAGTAAAATAGAACAAGTGAAAAATTTTATTTTAAGAAATTTGGGGGCCGGCTCCGTGGCTTGGTGGTTAAGTGAGCGCGCTCCACTGCTGGCGACCTGGGTTCGGATCCCGGGCTCGCACCGACGCGCTGCTTCTCCAGCCATGCTGAGGCCGCGTCCCACATACAGCAACTAGAAGGATGTGCAGCTATGACACACAACTATCTACTGTGGCTTTGGGGGGAAAAAATAAATAAATAAAAAAAAATCTAAAAAAAAAAAAGAAATTTGGCCAGTAAGGGAGAGGAGGATGGAGGAAGAGGACAGGTGCAGGCTAAGGAGAAGCCACCAGGTGGGTGGGACTGATGGTCCCTCCCATACTGTCAGTGAAGCAAGGTCCCAGGGCAGTAGGAAGAATGGGGCCAAGGATGACCCTGGAGTCAGCCTTGGAGAGGAGGCAGCATGTTATTTCTTTGGGGAAAACAGAGAAAGGAGAGCAGATGGGTGGCACTGTGGAGAGACGGGATAGAATGGAGGGAGGGACCATCTTAAGAAGCTAAGAGGGACAGAAATGGGGAGGGCAGGAAAGATTTGACATATACTCCACGGTACACCTCCAAATAACATAATAATGAGTTATTTGGAGGTAAATAAAGAATAACTGTGTCCCTGAGTTTAGATCTGTTGCTGATTCCACTATTTCTCTGTGTCTTAGTTGCAAGAGTCCTCACCCCTTGGCAGACTGCAGCCATTCCCTTCCCTGAGCCTGTGCTATGTGTGGAGGGCTCCTAGCCTTGGGGCCCCTAGCTACTAAATCCAGCAGGCCCAATCCATAAGCTGTTTTTCCCCTAGTTAAGCCCTTTCCGTGTCTGTTTTCCTAAATGGACCTTCTTTATAGATGTCATGGGCCTTCCAGAGCTGCTTTCTGGCAACCCCAGACTGGACTAGTAACCACCCACTGCCCCACGTAAAACCTCCATTGCTAGTCACTTACTGTCTTTCAGCAACTTTGAAAGGTACTTTATTTGCTGACTCTTGCAGTGATTTTGGCTACTTCCGTCCAGAAAATGACTCCAACTGTGTGGAACAGCCAGAACTGAAGGGCCACGACCTGGAGTTTTGTCTGTATGGAAGAAAAGAGCACCTGACAACCAACGGGTGAGATGGTTTTTCTCCCTGACCCTGATGAACGAGTTGTGAAAAGCCGATTCTCTCCCCACAGAGATCTGAGCAATATTTTAGAGCACTCTAGAAAAACCCTGTCCAATAGAACTTTCTGTGATAAAAATGTTCTATGATCTGCTGTGTCCATTAGGGTAGCCACTGGCCCTCTGTGGCTGTTGACACCAGTGCGACTAAGAAACTGAATTAATTTTTATTAATTTAAATTGAAGTAGCTGCCATCCCATTTTTGTACCACATGTTAACGTGCTTTCCCCGGGTCACAGTTCTTTGTCACAGTCTCTTAAGGCAGAAAGGCAGGCATGTCCATGCAGCAAGGCCAGACACGTTTCATCAGTTCAAGGCCTGAAACTACACAAAATATCCCCAAAACATCCCTATGGATCTCCCCCCAGGCCTGAAAGATGGTATAAGGACGAGAAGCTTTCTGCGGCTTTTCAAATCTTGTTTTCAGGAAATAAACAAGAATCCAGGAATACATCCTTGTATTCTGTTAATAAATTTTCTCTGCCTTTCAGGTACCGGAAAATTCCGGGAGACAAATGCCAAGGCGGAGTGAGTCCAGTTCGAGAAGTAAAAGACTTGAAAAAGAAATGCACAAGCAACTTTTTGAGTCCAGAAAAGCAGGTATGTTAAAGTGGATCTGGTTTAGGTACAAGTGGGGTTTTGTGTTCTGCCAGGAATAGTCAGAGTTACAGCATCGACAATTTTATTACTGAATACAAAGTGGCCAAACTACTTCTGTCACCTTCCCTTTGCACAGGAACCTGCATGAAGGATGGGTCACATAACCGGATGATAAGCTTATCTACTGAAAACTTTTGTTGGGGAAAAAAAGGGTATTCCGTAAAGTTGTTCCAAGTCTTAGAAGCATAGAGTTGAGGAAGTTTCTGAGGCTCAGAGTCATTTAAGGAAAAAACTCAAGAAGTTTGGCTGTAAAGGGCTAGAGTTTTGCACATGTGAAGAGAAGAGCACTGGGCTGTAGGTAGGATGCATCTCTGTGCTGAGTCATGCCTAGTGTGTTCAGAATGAAAAACTGAGCTATGATAATAATGGGCTGGTTTTGATTTAGAAGGAAGTTATGAAGCTGATTACAGATCTGTGGTACTCAACTATCTGGCTGGGATTTGGGGGTATGGTGACGAAGAATCCTCTTCATAAAAAAGCCCTGGACCAACAGTGTGACTTGGGGCGGTAAACTGTGGGCCCCAGTTTCCTAATCTGCAGAATGAGAGGTGGGCAGTCTGTAGTCCTCTCCTCTCTAGCCTTCTAAGGGGTGAGGGCGTGAAAAGGGGTAGGATTAAGAAGGCAGTAGGAGAAGAAAGTGTGGGTGTGTGTACTTGTCAGTGGGGCAGTCCCTCCTTCTCTGCACCCCCGCCCTGCGCTCCTGGTGCTGTCCTCAGAGTGTTTGTGTGTATGGTTGCACAGGACTCCCGCCCACAGGGACACAACTTGTCCCAGAATCCAGCTCCACCTCCTCTTGGATCCATTGAAAACACGCCCCCCCCAATCTCCCACCCCGAAGCAGGTAGGTCACACTCAGACAATGATATGAAAAGGCTTGTTTGTAAAAACATACCAAAAATTAAGTTAAAAGGATAAATCTTGGTGTCATATGATGGCCTGCCTGATGCAGCATTGGCACAGCTTCTTCCCAGGTAATGGCTCTGTTCTACATTTGTTCAGCCCACTATTATCATAGTCTCCCTTTCCTGCTCCACCCTTAAAAGCTCCAAGACTTGTAAACAGTGGTAGTGGGGCACAGTCACAGTGACTTTTGATCTAGGTAGTTGCCAAGGTTTCCAGTGTACCTTGGACATCGAAGCCCCTGAGATTCCACCGTTCTGACAGCTTCAAGGCAGTGGAAGTTCTGGTTACCCTCTGCCAGCTGTGATATTCTCCTGGTCACATTGAGATGGTTCATCTTAGGGGGTTGGAAAAGTATCATCATTAACTGCCTGGAGACTACAGATCATTCACAGAGAAAGGAGGGGAATGAGCAGCCTCTTTGAATTCAGTCCTAGAATATGCATACCTGAAATTTTTTGTTTGTGTTTTAATTTATCAAGAATTCCAAGTCAAATTCTGTTCCAATTATCCTGGCCACTGTGGGACTGATGCTGGTCACAGTCGTAGCAGGAGTGCTCATTGTGAAGAAGTACGTCTGTGGGGGAAGGTAAGGACCAGGAAGTTAATCTAAGGTACTGAATTTAACCCAGAAACTCAGCCAAGGGCATATGGTTGAGTCTGCCCTTGGCAAAAACTAGCTCGTTGAAGCGATGTTCCTGAAACATCAGGCCCAGTCTTCTCAGATCTTATGTTTTCCATATGCCAACCATGCACTGTGCCTCCTGTGTGTGTGACTCATTCTGTGAACGTATAAAGCTCAGAAAATCCACAGTCCTGTGAGAAATGCACCCCTGCTCACCACGCAAGGATTAACAGAGCTTTCCATCCACAGGTTCCTGGTGCATCGATACTCTGTGCTACAGCAGCATGCAGAGGCCAACGGTGTGGATGGTGTGGATGCTTTAGACACAGCCTCGCACACGAATAAAAGAGGTTATCATGATGACTCAGATGAGGTGAGACTATTTCTTCTTGAGGGGTGGTCCAGAAGTACAAAAAAGAATGATTCTTTTCCTGTTCATGATCAAGATATGATTGAGGCAAAGGAGGGTATAAACTAGAAGCAGCAACTTAATGCCTGTAAGACTTGGCTAGCCTAGAAACTAGGTAATTGCTTTCAAAATAGGAATTGTTTAGTCTGTAAATAATACAGGCTATGTCTTCTTTTCAGGACCTCCTGGAATAGCTCCTCCAAGGAGCTGGGACCGAGCATGGATGACGGAACCGCAGTACCTCTTACACTCCCTGTGGCTCCGACTTGGGGAAATAAATTTCCCATTGCGAGGGACCCAGCTCTGTTTCTGCTGCTTCCATCAAAGCCAAAAGGACCTACACTAAAGAAATGCAGGGGGTTGGGGAGCCCTAAACACTCTTACAATTGGCTCTGAGAAGAGGGGGAAAAATTTAAATGCTTTAACTTTTTATTTCAAGCGCTGTCTTTTGCAAAGTATGGGTTCTTTTGGTTTTGGTTTTTAAGGGAAAGGAAATGGAATTTGAAGGGAACAGTTCACTAACCCCACTCTTGCATGTTCTGCGTGGCGCCTGCCCCAGGGCACCTGCCCACTCCAGCATCAACTCTCACAACTTGCTTGGTGCTGTCCCTGGGCTCTGCTGGCAACACGAAGCAGCTGCAGAGAAGAACACAGAGGCTGCGATGACTGGCACAGCCTGGGCAGCCTTTCTCCGTCTGGGGACAGCCCTGCTCCAAGAACATTGCACACCAGCTCCTCACACACAGATCCTCGCTTTTTTTTTTTTCTTCTAGGGACCATAGACCACAGTGATTTTTCTTTTCCCCTGTTTAATTAGGCAATACCTTTGTTAATTGCCCTTTGGCTACTAACTTAACCATGTGCTTCCAAGACGCTAAATCAGGAAAACTTAAAAGGCAATATTTTTAACTTGGGGCAGGAAGAAGGGAGCAGCAGAGAATTGACTAGATTTAGCACCTGTTAGAGGAGAAATTCTCGCCTCTTCTGAGATCTTTCAAGCCATGCTCTGTGTGTGTGCCAGTGGACATGCTCAAGGACAGGGTTCAGGTCTGCCCCGGATGTCTGCCCAGGCCAAGTGACCTCTTCGCTGTAGCTGATGGTGGCGAGCACAATGCAGCCCCTGAGGACTGAGCATCCCAGTCTTCCGTGTCTCTTTCCACCGTTGGGTTGGCTCACTGGTGAAACATTAGGATGGCTGCTTGTTTGCTTCCTCTTAGGTTGCTGTTATACATGGAGTCAGGACTAGACATGTTTTCAGATTTAGAGGCTTTGCTAAAAAAAAAATCAGGATTTTATTACCAGGCTCTCCTCCTCACCACTTTTTCCCAGCTTTACTGAGTAATTTGTTGGCATGAAACTTTTGGCTGAACCAACTGAAAACACAGTTCCAGTGTAGATGATTTGTTTACGTTTGATACATTAAGTTCATATTTTAAATTTAAGGAAGTTTTCCCTTTGACTTTTTTTTTCAAATTGAAGTATAGAATGCAGTGAGGTGGATTTTTGGGTGGCCGTATAGTAATGGAAAGCTGCAATAATTAGTTTTAATACAGCTTGAGTATTTGTTAGACGGGCATATAGTGTAGTACGTTTGCGGTCTTAGCATACCTGCTATGCTGGTTGCAGTTTCTCCCAATAGTTGGGATTGGGACATTCTTTGGTATCTGCCATTTTGCTGCTAGTTCATTTTATGGCTAGAAAGTCAGTAAAAAGTAAATGTGCCAAATTAACTTTTGTCAGAATGCATGAGCAGATGGCTAAGTTCCCTTCTCCCCAGAATGGATTAACAGCAGCAGGAAGAGTGGGGGAGGGAGTGGATGGAGAATTTTAGAGACTTTGAAACTGCAGTAAAATTACATGAGTCAGGGAGCTTCAGTTAGAAAATAATGTTAGGGTGGTTTTTGTGAAGAGGATTAATATTTGTTAGAGCCAGAGAGCACTAGTCTTTTAGGAAAAGCTCATTCATTTTGCATGGTTTTTTAAATTAAAAATAATTGTAAAGGTAAACCAGCTCACAAATGATAAAGTGTCAGCCTTTGTCCCAGAGTGAGTTTGATGCCCAGAGAAGACCCACTTAGACCACACACCTTCTTCTCCCAGTGTATCCCCTCTGGGGTAGATGTGCCAATAGATGGTGATTCTCTGATTAGTGTTCAGATGTGGGAAAGTGAATACTCCCCTCTAACCTCATCTGTAAGAGTAGAGCTCTTTGCTTATAATGATAGCTGGGGTTTCTGTAGAAGCTGGCAGTTTCCACAGCACTTTCACCTGCCTTATGTCATTTGAACCTCACAACACTGTTGTGAGATTAAAAGAAAAGAAGGCAGGGGTTATAATCCCCATTTTTTAGGAGCTGGAGCTGAGGTACAAAGCTTGAGTAAGTTGGCCAGTGCCCCTGTGTGTATGTGTTACGAGCAGTGCTGATTGGTTGTCTTCAGAATGTGAACATTTTTATGCGTGCAAGTGCTGAAAACCTGGAACCGGCTTCGTTCTTACAGATGACTGGCTGTCCTTTAGGACAGCAATCAGTGGTATTTCTTTCAGAGCAGAATTGAGCACCTTCTTGCCACCTTGGTGAACAGAAAATTTTATTCTCCTGTTTTTCATAGCTGAAAACAAAAGTAACGGTAATTTTAAATATGTGTTTAGAAATTGTCCCTCACCTGGTTGAGGATCACTGTTCAAGAGCGCAGAGGTGGCATCTCCGTGGATGAGTCACCCTTCCCCATTCCCCTTGTTGTCCCACCCCTGGCCGGCTGGCCAGCTCAGTTGTTTTGAGCACTGCGAACAAGCCTAGCTCATTCCCTCTATTGGCTGGTTAGCTTTTTGTATCAGCCTGCTCACTCACAAATCAGTGCCCTCAGCCAGAGAGTAAAACAGCCTAAATCCACGATAGCTTCTAAGAAAAAAAAAGATTTCTAATTTGTCCTACTGTTGTTAGGTTAAGAGCATTATCTTTGAAAGTAAAGCATAGCATAGCATAGTGTAAACTCCAGGCTTGATAGTAGCAGAAGAGATTAGTTCTGGGGGTTTCAGCAATAGAACTTGGCTTTGTAAGATAGGTTAGACATATCAGACCATGTAGAGTGGTCTGAGCTCGTAAATCCAGTTGGGGAACTCACCATCCTTCCTGCTCTGTGGACAGGTGTCTGTACCTAAGAGGGCTTTTGGTTTTCAGTGAGACCAGAGACCAGGGATGCACACACCTAGGCTGGTAATTGAATGGGAATGCCACTTAGAAGAATAAAATTATTTGGAGGGTTGTGGCCATTCTAGTCTGGGCTCAAGAGAGTCAATAGATAAGCTATAACTGAAATTAGAATCTGCCATCTGCCCCTGAATAGGCCTTCTAGTGTGTCTCTCTCATTCTTAGGTTTGCCTTTGGGCCTCTACATGCCCAGGCTGGCTGTCCATCTCTGACAGATGAGGAATGTGCTGGCCACCTCTGGCTCCTGTGCTGGCTCTCTAAACTGTAGCTGCTTCTCCCGTGGCCTTCGTCACAATGCCAGGATACAGAGAGGAGTGCAGAGCTGTCTACACCGCCCCCCGCCCCCAGGTGGCAGGGCTGGCCTGGCTTCAGTCATTTCTTTATTTTCCAGGCAAACCATCCAGGTAGAGAGATTCTCTCTTCTCTTTTAGGAGAGCTCTAAAGAACCATGTCCCTCTATGCAGTGCCCTAGAGCTCATCCTGGTCGTTGTCAGTACAGGCCACCTGCCCGACGTGAAGCCTGGAAACCTGGAATTGCTAAACTGGGACGAGATTCAGCTTTTCAACTTTGCTTCTACCTTCTCTTAAGCAAGAAAATAAACATGGACTTCAGTGTCCTTTGAACAAAACCAAAGTTTAAGATTTGCCACATGATGGAGTGATAGGGAGGACCAGACTTTCAGCGCTGGCACTCAGCAGGTGCCAGACTTTCCATTCCATCTGCCATCAATTTGCCCAGCTCAGGCAGCTCTGGAAGCACCATCCTGCCCTAGCAGAGCCCAGGCCTTGCCCTCATGGAGGAGAATTGAAATAGCAGGAACATGTTGATTTCTTGGTTACATTGCATTATAACAAGAATCAGAACATTAATTTGAATTTGTCTTCAGCAACTTGCTACTGTATGCATTTTTCACACCAGTACATTCTTAAGCGTCCTTGTTTATATAGAATAACATAAACTAATCTGTACCTCTATATATATATATATGTGTGTACATATATACATGTATAAACTGTATAGTGTACATGTTAATGATTTATTGATCTGTCCCAAATCTTTAATGCAGTTCTCATCCTCCGCATGCCCTCAGTTTGTGGTTGGGTGACTAGAATGTTCCCTAATGGTTCTGCCCATCTCCTGTGTTTGGACGTCTAGGGAGGAGGGTTTTGGTTGTACCCTCGTTTCCTCGTGCACAGAAATGCTCAGGGTCCCCATGTGCCTGTTGTTCAACCCTCTCTTGTCTCTTGTTCCCTTTCTGAGCATGTGGTCCCTCCCTGTTCTATACCTTCTCTGCCTCCCTTCCCCAAGCTGTGGCACAGCTGCCTTCCTACTAAAATGTAAAGCAGTATTAAGATCATTACTGCATGTGCGCTAAAAACCCAAGTTTTCTGTTCTTTGGGACAGAAAATTGCATGTGAGGTGGGATAATCAAGATTTAGTGACCCATGTCATTACACAACAAAGCCAGACCCCATAATAAAATTCCACAAAATGGAAATAAAACTCAAATTTCTTTAGCATTGTGTAAATAAATCTGGATGTGTTTAACTTTGTACTGGTAATTTTCTGTATATTTGCAATATTTGGGTTAGAAATAAAACAGACTGGACTTTGTTACCTGACCTTCTGAAATTACTAGCTACAGTTTTTTAATATGATAGCTTTTCCAATTTTCTAGCTTCAAAAATCAAACTCTAGCAACCAGAGAATAGGCCAGTTAAAGAGCCTGGACTGTGCATTTGTAGCATGAAAGGTATTAGATAATTTATGGGGGAAACAACTCACTTTTTTCTTGTTCTTTATGCTCATAAAGATCTACCTCCTGTGGGTATTTGTAAGGCCAGCTTTCTTGTTTTCCCCCCCAGAATGTCCAGCTGACCCACCCCACACACCTCCTTGGGTTTCAATTGCTACACTCTTCTGGACATACAACATATAATCGCTCTCCTGAATTATATGTTCCTTATAGCACGCGTGACAAGCGACAGCACTGAGTTTAACTTTGGTATCTTTCCGTCTGCCCCTCTTATATTTCTCTTGCTGCTCTTACAGTCCTTCCTGATCCATTTCATTTAAGGACCTTCAGAGAGTTACAGCTGTCCTCTTTTCCAAAATATTTCTTTTAGGAGAGGTTCCTGCCTGCCCCCCTTGAGCCCTTAGCTGGGCCTTGAAGGCTGCTTCAAAGCCAGCCAGCCTGGGGTGAAATTTCCATTGAATATTTACTCTGGCATCATGGTCTGAAGATGACAAAGCAAAGACTTGCTCTTGAGGAGCCCACTATCGACCTATTAAATTAGACTTTGCAATGGACAGACCCTGGGAGTCTGCGTTTTTAATGTAATTCTTTCACACCTTCATTGCAACCAACGGCTAACACCAAAAGCCTGGGCCAATCTCCTCCCCAAAGCATGGGTTAAGTGGGGTGTACAAAAGGGAGTTTGGACTCCCCTAGTTTGGGGACCGTCCATACTTACAAGGGCCATGGCTGCGTCAGGCAAGAGAAATAGGTCAGAGAGGCCTTCACCCCAGTCCTGATGTGGCCAAGTGTGGCCTCTTACCAACCAGCCCCAGAGGACAAGCTCCACAGTCACCCTCTTCTGCCATCCTGGCTCCTGGTATTCTGGCCTGGTTCCTGGCTCCTGGCTTCTGGCTTCTGCCATTCTGGCCTGGTTCCCGGGCCAGAAATGTGTCTACAGGTTGTCCTGGCCCTCAGCCCCTATACAAGTCACAAAGAGGAATTCCGGACTTCTGTCCCACACCCCAAGATAATAACATGGGCTCCCAAGATCCTATTGACTCTGCTGCCAAATTGAGGGCTAAAGGGGAAAAATGAGTAAGGAGCCCATTCATTGAACCACTCTCATTTTTTGTGTGTGTGTGTGAGGAAGATCAGCCCTGAGCTCACATCTGTTGCCAATCCTCCTCTTTGCTGAGGAAGATTGGCCCTGGGCTAACATCCATGCCCATCCTCCTCTATATGTGGGACACCTGCCACAGCATGGCTTGATAAGCAGTCAACCACACTCATTTTTTTCCGTAACAAAGGTGTGGGGCAGGAGGATATATGGGAATTCT